CATTTATATAGTATAGTCAGTTGGTCTGTGAGAAAAAGAGCTCTCTGACGCAATTCACCCCGCCAAAAATTTGGAAACAGCATGCTGTACTGCTTCGCATTCGCACCAGAAACTCCAAGACGAACATTTCACAGTATTTTGGTGTCAATCTGACGGTAGAGGATTCGGAAAAAGGTAGATGAGTCTAAAGGTGATTACGAAGATGTTTAGATTGATCACTAGTGATAGCGATGTTATGCCTTCATTCATCCCACATGGCCTCAGACTCGACACGGAGGTTTACATCAAATGCCTTGAGGTGGTACTGCTGCCCTGGGTCAAGAAGGTGGCTGCTAGAAGATCTTATTTCTGGGAACAGGATTCTGAACCATGTTACACAAGCAAGTGAACCTAGTCATGGGTGCCAGACAATCTCTGCGACCACATCACCCCTTACATCTAGCCACATGGCTCCCCAGACTGCAACCCACTTGGTTATTTTGTGTGGGGCGCATTTCAGCAAAAGACCACCAAAACTCTTTGAAGATGAACTGAAGTCAAGGATTATGGCAGCATTCACCAACTTAAACAAGGTGACCGCCCAGCAGAGTTACTTGAAATTTCGAATTCGTCTAGAGACCGTGGTTGACGCTAATGTGGATATTATTAAAGAAAATTGCTCTTTAATATTGCTTGATATTTTTGTGTAATTTTGGTAAATATATCTGTTAAAATTAGATGTCAGTGTTATTTTAATATTTGTGTAATTAAGACGACAATTTATCTATCGCACAATCTATATAGCGAGAGTCCACACAAAATTGACCTCATTTAAATGTGAATATCTGAGTAACTTTATGTCCCAGTCAAACGAAATGAAAAATGCACCATGCTGAACAATAAAAGATACATCCAAACGTTACATCTTTTGTTATCCCCAAACGTTCACCCATCTCGATACTGAATAGTCTCGATGCTGCTTAACTCCAGTGAAAAATAACTAATAATTGTTTAAACTGTTTTTTTTATTGACGTTTATTGAATTCATCACGTTTTTTTTGTTTTGTTTTTTTTTGTATCATTTGTCAGGTCAACTACGGTCATTTTTCTTCATTAGCCAAGCAATTATAGCTGGCAAGAAAAAAACAGGATAAACCGAGCAATAGTGCCATATATGACCGAAAATGTTTTGAAAAGTTTTCAGTATTCAAAGTCCTTATTGAGCATCGAATATCAGGAAGAGTTTGGTCGTCAATATTTAGTGAGGAAAGAAAGGCCTGCTGATAGAATAGGACTACAAAATAAATGAAATGCGAATGATGCTATTATAGCAGTTATTGTTGTCATTTTAAATCTGTAACTTCTGCAGACAAAAATCAACGAAGGATCTGCAATATTATCGACCTTGACCACGTATCTCCGCTTCAATCCTTTTCACAGCCCGCAACGTTGCTCGCTAGTGGCCTTTCTATAAATGTATGCTGCCTCCACCACAAATTTGACATCATTAAAAATCCATGGCACAATCTATACAGATGGTGTCCCCACAAATTGACACCATTTAAATATGAATATCTGAGTAACTGTCTGTCCCAGGCAAACGAAACGAAATAGGCGCCATGCTGAACAATAAAAGATACATCCAAACGTTACATCACTTGATATCCCCAAACGTTCACCCATCTCGATACTGAATAGTGTCGATGTTGCTTAACTCCAGTGAAAAGTAACTAATTGTTTAAACTGTTTTTATTAACGTTTATTGAATTTATCACGTTTATGTATCAGTTGTCAGGTTAACTACAATCATTTTTCTTCGTTAGCCAAGTAATTACGGCTGATAAGGAAAAAATAGGATGTACTGACTAATAGAGCCATATAGGACCGAAAATGTTTTGAAAAGTTTTCAATATTCAACCTCCTTATTGAGCATCGAATATCAGGGAGCGATTGGTGGTCAATAGTTAATGAGGACAGAATAACGACTCTCCCATTTCTCTGCTTATAGAATAGGACTGCAAAATAAATGCATTGCAAATGATGCAGTCATAGCATTTATTATTGCCACATCAGAACTGTAGCTTCTGCCGATAAAATCCAATTTAGAATCTGCAATATTATCGATCTTGTCCACATATCTCGGCTTCAATCCTTTTCCCACTCCACAACACGGCTCCATTGTACCGTTTTTTTTTTAATTACAGGACGCATCCCACCTAAAAAAAGAAAATTTGGCATCATTTGCACTTACCAAGAAAACAAATCTATATTGACTATTATTATTTTATTATTATTTTTTTACGACTTGTCAACCTCTTACAGGTTATTTAAAGCTAGAACATATTTTTAGGTTATAAGTAATTTTGTAGAAAAATATTGATTTAGTGATGCAAGTGATACTAATTAACCCATAACATGGGTGAGTAAAGTGGGATACTTGCCTTTCGTAATAGTATTTGTATGTTTGTGAATATAATGGTTCCCATTTCTAAATACGAGCCATTACCATTATTCCAACCATACAGCTAAATTTTACATCACCTGGTATCCCAAAACGTTCACCCATCTCGATACTGAATAGTCTCGATGTTGCTTAACTCCGGTGATCTTAAGGAGACAAAGGGTACAAAATAAGTTCATGAATGTTTAAACTGTTCTTTATTGACGTTTATTGAATTTATGACGTTTTTGTATCACTTGTCAGGTTAACTCCAGTCATTTTTCTTCATTAGCCAAGCAATTATGGCTGGCAAGAAAAAAAAAACAGGATAAACCGAGCAATAGTGCCATATATGACCGAAAAGGTTTTGAAAAGTTTTCAGTATTCAACCTCCTTATTGAGCATCGAATATCAGGGAGCGATTGGTCGTCAATAGTTAATGAGGACAGAAAGGACTGCTTATAGAATAGAACTGCAAAATAAATGCATTACGAGTGATGCTGTTATAGCATTTATTCTTGTCACATCAGAACTGTAGATTCTGCAGATAAAATCCAATTTAGAATCTGCAATATTATCGATCTTGGTCACATATCTCGGCATCAATCCCTTCCCCACCCCGCAACGCAGCTCCATTCTGCCGTTTTTATAATTACAGGATACATCCCACCTAAAAAAGAAAAATATACAACCTCCTTATTGAGCATCGAATATCAGGAAGAGATTGGTCGTCAATAGTTAGTGAGGAAAGAAATGACAGCTTATAGAATAGAACTGCAAAATAAGTACATTGCAAATGATGCAGTTATGGTAGCATTCACCAGCTTAAACAAGGAGACTGCCCAGCAGAGTTACTTGAGATTTCGAAGTCGTCTGGAGACCCTGGTTGAGGCTAATGTGGATTTTATTAAAGAAATTTTCTCTTTGATATTTTATGATATTTTTGTGTAATTTTGGTAAATATATCTGTTAAAGGCAGATGTCAGTGTTATTTTAATATTTGTGTAATTAAGACGACAATTTATCTATCGCACAATCTATATAGCGAGAGTCCACACAAAATTGACCTCATTTAAATATGAATATCTGGGTAACTTTATGTCCCAGTCAAACGAAATGAAATAGGCGCCATGCTGAACAATAAAAGATGGATCCAAACGTTACATCTTTTGTTATCCCCAAACGTTACATCTTTTGTTATCCCCAAACGTTCACCCATCTCGATACTGAATAGTCTCGAGGCTGCTTAACTCCAGTGAAAAATAACTAATAATTGTTTAAACTGTTTTTTATTGACGTTTATTGAATTTATCACGTTTTTGTATCAGTTGTCAGGTTAACTACAATCATTGTTCTTCATTAGCCAAGTAATTACGGCTGATAAGGAAAAAATAGGATGAACCGACTAATAGAGGCATATAGGACCGAAAATGTTTTGTACAGATTCAGTACGCAACCTCCTTATTGAGCATCGAATATCAGGAAGTGATTGGTTGTCATTATTAGTGAGAAAATTAACGACTGCTTTTAGAATAGAACTGCAAAATAAATGCATTGCGAATGATGCTGTTATAGTGTATTTATTTTGCAGTCCTATCAGATCTATAACATCTGCAGATAAAATTCAACGAAGAATCTGCAATATTATTTATCTTAACCATGTATCTCTGCCAAAATCCCTTCCCAGCCCACAACGTAGCACCCTATAAATGCAGAGTGCCCAACCCCCGCCCCAAAAAAAAAAAAAAAGAATTGACATCATTAAAAATCCATCACTCAATCTATATAGCTATTGGCACCACAAAATTGACATCATTCAAATGTGAATATCTGAGTAACTTTATGTCCCAGGTAAACGAAATTAATTAGGCGTCTTGTTGAACAATAAAAGTTACATACAAGCGTTACATCACCTGCTATCCCCCACCGTTCACTCATCTCGTTACTGACTAGTCTCGACGTTGCTTAACTTTGGTGATCCTGAGGAGACAAAGGGCATAAAAGTAGTCCATGAGTAAAATGCTAAAATTGTTTTTATTGATGCCTATTTTGTTATATAAATGCAAGGTGCCCTCTAAAATTTTGACATCGTTTAAAATTTCAATATCTACATATCTCGCGTAAACGAAATTAAAATAGGCTTCATATTGGACAATAAAATAATTATTTCCCCAAATTTCGCTTCAAGTCGGTAGTCCAGCTCCTTCCAAACACGTTGTAGCATGTCTTGCGTAATATCTCCAACGCTAAAGTGTCATAATCAGAATCTGGGTGTTCATAGATTATCTTCTTATAAACTTTCTGGGGCTTCGCACTAATTTTCCGAACCTGATTAACTTAGATTCCGATACTGGCGGTCATCCAGACAAATTTTCCCGGCACAGACAGCCTTCCTTTCTTTGATTTTTTTTTTTTTGTACCATGTCCAAATCTGCTTTCCAGTTTCTGCATTTTTCTTGAATTTTCTTGAGAATAACCCCCCCACACACACACACACACAAACACACAGACATACACATATATATATAGAATATACACATTATTTAGACTAAATATTATCTTAATCTTTGGTGTTATCATCATGTTTCAAGCGGCAGAGTCGACAGAGTTGGTGTTAGGGCACGCGCCGATCGCAACATCCCGACATCGTTGTCGCCGGGCGGACATCGTTGTCGCCGGGCGGACATCGTTGTCGTCGGGCGGACATCGTTGTCGCTGGGCGGACATCGTTGTCGTCGGGCGGATATCGTTGTCGCCGGGCGGACATCGTTGTCGTCGGGCGGACATCGTTGTCGCCAGGCGGACATGGTTGTCGTCGGGCGGACATCGTTGTCGTCGGGCCGACGGGCGTCGCACGCGTAAGATTTGCGCGCGAGCACAGAAAATGAAATTCGAAAATCAAATGAAACCGTTCCCTTGCTCTTTGTAACTTGTGCCGAACCTCGAAAAGGGTGCGCTAATAAGAGAGCAAGGTTCATCGCAAGCAACTGCTGTTCGTCCGACAGTCGCATCTCGATCGATCGACGGGCATCAAGCCGGCAGGTGCCGGACGGAGGACGGGGGACGACGAAAACAACAACGAAGACGACAACGAAGACGTCAACGAAGACGCGCTGTCGGTCATCCCTGGCATCATTCCGGCCGCGTACAAGATCGAAGATGGGCAAAGTTCGTGGTTATCGGCCGACCAGGACCAGGAACAGGACCATGCGCAGGCGCGCCGCGGACGGAACGACGACGTCCAGCATCAGCAGCTGTCCCGGCAGTAGCCCTTCACCTGCCGCTCACCTACCAGTGTCTGTTTGTCGACAGTGAACAAAATCGTCAACAGAGATGGAACAGTCGCGCTCGCTCCTGCATCGAAATTGCAAAAAAAATTCAAAAGTTGCTACGCAAAATGGGTCCGCTGATAAGGGATCAGGGAACTTCGCCGGCGCCTGCTGCTCGTCTGACGGTCTCATCATGGTCGGTCGACTGCAAGCGAGAAAGCAACTAGGTAGGTGCCAGCCTGCCGGGCGCGGAGAAGGTATGAAGCCGACGCGCAGCCGGATGTCCCTCCCTGCCGAAAGAAAGATGTTGTCACGCCAACGAAAGATATTGTCCTCAGGTGCTTTTTTTTTTTTTTAAGCTTTTCACCCCAAGCAAGGCGGGAAGCCACAAGGACGCCAGGGGTTACAGAAGATTTGGAACAAGATCAGATAGGAGTGATAGAGGAAATGATGAGGAGAAGGATAGTGGATAGGCAACTGGAGATGTCGATTGACATTACATTTGAATAGTTGGAGATTATAGCTCTCAAGGAAACTAGAATAGAGAAGGGAGTTCCACAGGCGAGAGGTGCTTGGCAGGATCTAGACTTGTAGCCTGAATCAGAGTTAAAGTGAGGTTTTGAATTTCGATGGAGTCGATTGAAGAGTTCAAAGTTATTTCTTCAAAATTATCATTGCTGTTTTCTAAGCCGGACCAGAGGTCCCTTTAGTTTGGAGCCGGAGGTCTAGTAAACTTTCCACAGGAGCTAGCCTAAAAATCTGCACGGTGCCCACCTTTTAAGCTAGTAATGCATAAATCTATAAAATAATTGCACAAGACAACTAACTGTTATAGCTCTTTCTAGTATTTCATATAGTTTCCTTTCTAATTCATTATTTTAATGTAGTGATAAATTAAAAATTTATATTCTTACTACTAGTTTCATTTTCTATCCGTTGTGGTTGTTGCTAGTAGATTTCAACTCTTGTGGCTTTTGTTATTTGGCAAAATTCTTGGGGATTCTACCATGTCAGTCCATAGGCACTGAAGAAATATTCTCTTCTTGGGGGCTAAATAAGATTCATTCCCTTGGTAACATCGTAAATCATTGATCTGAGAAAACGATCTTCATGTTAAACACGAACGTGATGGACACCATGTATACCCTCCACGTGAGCGTTTAAATCTGACATGGCGGTGTAAGTGTATTAGGTTAATCGTATGATTTTTCTCGCGTCCTACGCTGTTGGGGGAAACACACTGAGCGCAATCTGACGTATAAATATATATATACGTATATATAAATATACATACGTATATAATAAGAGCGAGGTGGCGAGAAAGATATACAGGTACGATATACTTGGGCATCGGAGATGACGACACTGACTGAGAACTCATACAATATATCGAAAAAATTTTTTTTATTTTATCTTTTAAATAAAAATTCACAGAAAAGTTGAATATGAGATTTTATGTTTTGATTCACGGATGAAAACAATTAAAATTGATTTTTTTTTTCCTAAAAAGAAAACAAACCAATTCTCGAATGAATAAAAATCGATTGACTAACGTCAAGCGATTTAGAGAGAAATCGATAAAATGGTAATCAAATAAAATTAGCTGATTCTTTCCTGTCTTGATATTGTTTATCATATATATATATATATATATATATATATATATTTTTTTTTTTTTTTTTTAAATGTATGTATTGATTAAATTTCACAATCTTTGAATTCAGTTCTTTTTTATTGAGTTTTTCATTCATTTTTTCTCTTTCTTTCCATTGTTTTATTCTTTCTTTTGTTTTTCATTCAACCATCATCCTTTGTTTATTTTCTTTTTGATCTCATTTTTTTCTTGTATTTATTCTATTTCATTCCAATTTATATTTTCTTTTATAAATTATTCTTACGTTTTTCTTTTTCCTGCTTATGAATTATTCTTTCTTTTAGTCTGCATTTTGCCTGCTTCTTTCTTTGATTTCTTCATTAATTTCTTTATTTATTATTTCCCTCTTTTTTCATTCTTTAATCTCTAATTCTTTTTTCTCATACTTTCTTCTTTTCTTTCTTTCTTTCTTTCTTTTCTTTCTTTCTTTCTTTTCTTTCTTTCCGATTAATTTTGTAATTCTTTCTTTGCTGAAAGTTTTTTTTTATTTCCTTTCCTCTCCATTTTCTTTCTTTTTTTAAAATTTTCTTAAAATGTTCTTTTGGATTATTTCTTGCTTTTATTTTTTATCATTTATTCTTTTTTCCATTTACTTTCATATTAATTTTTCCTTCTTTTTTTAATTTTTGTTCTGGAAACATTTTGCTTTCTTTCTTTCTTTCTTTCTTTCTTCCTTTCTTTCTTTCTTACTTTATTTATTTATTTTTTTCTATCATTCTTTTTTTTTTCAGTCCCTCTTTATTTCTTTCACCTATTTGTTTTTCTTTCATATTTTCTTTTACCTATGTCTTCTTTTCCTTTCTTTCATTTAACTATTTCTGATTTATCTTTCTTTATTTTCTTTCTTTTTTTACTTATTTCTTCTTTTCCTTTATTTCTTTATTTCCTTCTTTTCATATTTTATTTTTTCCTTTCTTTCTTTTACTTATATCTTCTTTCCTTTTCTTCTTTGTTTTTACGGATTTCAGTTTTCCTTCCTTTCTTTATTTATTTTACATATTTATTATTTTTCTTTCTTTTACCGTTTTCTTCTTTTTCTTTCTTTCTTTTACATTTTTCTTTGTTTGTTTGTTTCTTTCTTTTACCTATGTCTTCTTTCGCCTTCTTCTTTGCTTTTATGGATTTCTTTCTTTCTTTCTTTCTTTTACATATTTCTTCTTTTTCTTCCTTTATTTCTTTCTTTCTTTCTTTTACATATTTCTTCTTTTTCTTTCTTTCTTTCTTTCTTTCTTTCTTTCTTTCTTTTACATATTTTTTGTTTGTTTCTTTCTTTCTTTTACCTATGTCTTATTTCGCCTTCTTTGCTTTTATGGATTCCTTTCTTTCTTTATTTATTTATTTTACATATTTATTATTTTTCCTTCTTTCTTTCCTTCCTTCTTTCCTTCCGTTTATCCATTTCTTGTCTTCCTTTCTTCTTTTTTACGTATTTCTGCTTTACATTTCTTTTCTTTTTTCATTTTTCTTTCTTTCTTCCACTTCAAACATTGTTTTTCGTCTATGTCCGTCGTCTATTCTTTCTTTATTTAATTACAAACTTTTTTTTCTTTCTTTCCATCCTCAACTGTAGAATTTTTTTCTTTTTTTTTTGTCAACATCGGATGTCTTTTGTTTTCTTTCGTTTTTTCTTTTATTATATATTTATTTATTCTTGGTCTATTTCTCTCTTTCTTTGTTTTTCTTTCTTGCTTTCTTAGCCTCTTTCTTTTTGTTTTTAACTGCAGACATCGTTTTTTTTTCTTTCATTCTTGCCTCAACCGCAGGTATTTTCATTTCTTTCTGTTTTTATTTATTTATTTCTCTCTTTCTTTCTATTTTTGTCTCTTGATTTCTTTTTTCCTTAACTACAGACACCTTTCTTTTTTCTTTCTTTCTTTAATGCATCTTTTTTCTTTCTTTCTTTAACTTCAGACATCTATCTATCTGTCAATCTATCTTTCTTTTTCTTTCTTTCTTTTCTTCTTTCTTTCTTTTCTACTTTCTTTCTTTTCTTCTTTCTTTCTTTTCTTCTTTCTTTCTTTTTCTTTCTTTCTTTTTCTTCTTTCTTTCTTTTCTACTTTCTTTGTTTTCTTCTTTCTTTTTTTCTTCTTTCTTTTTTCTTTTCGTCTTTCTTTTTTCTTTTCTTCTTTGTTTTCTTCTTTCTTTGTTTTCTTCTTTCTTTCTTTTCTTCTTTCTTTCTTTTCCTTTCTTTCTTTCGTTTCTTCTTTCTTTCTTTTCTTTTCTTCTTTCTTTCTTTTCTACTTTATTTTTCTTTCTTTCTTTCTTTCTTTCTTTTCTTCTTTCTTTCTTTTCTTCTTTCAACCTCGCAATTAGATATATCAGTCAATACTATGACTCGAGTGTTGATCGATTCCTTTAGCGCTCACTTTTTAATCATCGCCATTTTAGTTTCGTTGAAGACGAACTAAAATTCATCAAGACGTTAATAACAAAAAAAGGAAATGGTAAATGAACCCAATATTTCTAAAACCAAAACCCTTCCAGGACGTACAGAACACGAAATACTATTCTCATCTTGTTTTTAAAATCTATATTAAACAATAAATAAAAGTAAAACCTATTTTCCTAACAAGCAGATAAAAGCGATGAAATGAAAGCAACTGATTAAATAAAAGCTTGTGTTTGGATAAGGAAGAATTTATTCAAAAGTTAACGCGTGCATTGTAAGACAATCAATAAATATGCAATTCGTCTTTGATTTTCTTTCTACTTTCCTCTTAATCATACGTAGACACCATCTTGTGATAGGATTTTTTTATGTCTGTGTGTGTGTCAGAGACAAAGAAAAAACAAATTGAAGTCTGCGGAAGTAAACATGAACCTCGTTACCTCTATGAAAAGATCACGCATTTTGGTTGGTGCGAAGCACCTCATCTATCTATCTATCTATCTATCTATCTATCTATCATATTCTGTTCATTATCTATCTATCTATCTATCTCATTCTGTTCACTATCTATCTATCTATCTATCTATCTATCTATCTATCTATCTATCTATCTATCGCATTCTGTTCACTGTCTATCTATCTATCTATCTATCTATCTATCTATCTATCTCATTCTGTTCACTACCTATCTATCTATCTATCTATCTATCTATCTATCTATCTAATTCTGTTCACTATCTATCTATCTATCTATCTATCTATCTATCTATCTATCATATTCTGTTCATTATCTATCCATCTATCTATCTCATTCTGTTCACTATCTATCTATCTATCTATCTATCTATCTATCTATCTATCGCATTCTGTTCACTGTCTGTCTATCTATCTATCTATCTATCTCATTCTGTTCACTATCTATCTATCTATCTATCTATCTAATTCTGTTCACTATCTATCTATCTATCTATCTATCTATCTATCTATCTATCTATCTATCATATTCTGTTCATTATCTATCCATCTATCTATCTCATTCTGTTCACTATCTATCTATCTATCTATCTATCTATCTATCGCATTCTGTTCACTGTCTGTCTATCTATCTATCTATCTATCTCATTCTGTTCACTATCTATCTATCTATCTATCTATCTATCTATCTATCTATCTATCTAATCCTGTTCACTATCTATCTATCTATCTATCTATCTATCTATCTATCTATCTATCTATCTATCTCATTCTGTACACTATATATCTCTCTCTTTATCTATCTATCTCAGTCTCTTCATTACCTATGTATCGATTTCAGTATCTTTATTATCTAGCTCTTCATGTCACAGACACACACACACACACATATAGATATATATGTGTGTGTGTGTGTGTAAAATAGATCGGTTGGTTAATAAAACAAGGGCAAACGAAACGGTACCAATATAATCATTACGAAAAACATTTATTAAATATTAGGTTCGGAATTTTCGGAAAAGCATGTACTTCTCTCGCCGTTGATGAAGGACACAGTCGTGCCCGAAAGTTCCGAAGATAAAATCCTTTCTTTCTGTGATTCAATTTTGTCAGATAAATAATAAATAATAAATAATATTTCATAAATGTTTTTCGTACTGATTTCATTGGTACCTTTTCCTTTCCCTTGTTTTATTAACCAACCTATCTTTTACATATTATGTAATAAACACACGTGGGCCCTTTCTTCTAATCACCCCCACACATATATATATATATATATATATATATATATATATATATATATATATATATATATACTGAACAATAAAAATATTTAAAAAAATTAAAAATTAAAATCTTCAGAAACTGTGTTGTATATTAAGATTCCGTCGTTTTTATTATTTTATTTAGATTCCTCGACCAGTTTAGGCCAACATAGCTATCATCAGGAGAAAAATAATTTTCTACTTCCTGGTAGAAGTGAACTACAGAAATGAATGTCTTGATAGAGAAAATGAACTTTTGTCTGTAGTTTACATTTGTATTTTTTAATTTTTTTAACATGAATTTTGGGCAGTTTTTGTGTTGGTCAAACAGACTCTTTTAAGTTGTTTTTTGAGATAATAGCTGGATGGCTTCATGCTGCTCTGAATTACCGTGGTCATTTTGACAGTTTTATTGGTTCCTGGAAAGGGGATGTGTCTCTGTTAAGCGTGTGTGTGTCTGTGTGTTATTTGGTTCTTAGGGAATGAGTGGGTGTGATAGGTGTAAGCGTGCTTATTACTATGGGGTGTGTGTTATCATTTGGCTTATTAAGGAGTGAGTGAGTATGATGTGTGTAAGTGTGTATATTCGTATGGGTGTGCGTATAAGTGTGAGGCCTCAACACCTCCGTAAGCATGTCTGTCTTGTGTGGGTGAGAAATGTGGGTACGTTTTGATTTGTAGGGATATATATTAATACTATCAATATTGTTAAATTTATGATTAAGCCCGTCTGGATAGTGCGTTTTTAAAAGTTGTATCCACTTATATTCATGGAACTCTAAAATCTTTCTAATGTTATCTTCTCTGGACTTTTTTTATTCTCTCAATTATAGTGAATTTCGCATGGGTTTTAAAATCGTGTTTTTCTAGGCTGAAATGTTGTTCTAGAGGTAATAATCTTTCATGGGGAGTCGACTTAATTCAATTGCAATAATTATTAATTCTGTAGTGAAAAGGCCATTCAGATTTTCCTAGATATTCCTATATATATATATATATATATATATATATATATATAATTATTATTTAAAAAATTATAACATAACTCGGTGTCTTATCAAGTGATCACTTGATAAGACACCGAGTGTGTTGAAACAAAAGGGCTATTTTTGTAGTGATGTTATAACATACTTATGTTATAATTTTTTTTATAAATAATAATTATATCTGGTCTACTTTGTATTGAGCACTCTTTTAAGAATAGTAATTGTTGGTTATTCGAATTCATTCCGTATATACCAATTGTATACTTTATATATATATATATATATATATATATATATATATATATATATATATACGCACATACACATATAATGTGACTCTATATTAATCAGTCATACCGTCATATTACGTTGAAATTCTGTGCTGAAATTAAGCAACTTCGAGCCTGGTCAGTATCTAGATGGTAACCGCTTGGGAATATCAGGTGGTGTGTTTTAATATGTGCCAATGGTGTAATAGATAACAGCAAAGCATTGAAGATCAGCGTATCAAGTTCCAAGTACGCTATATTCACTTACGCGCAAATAACGTAGGGGACGATATGAACCCACCTTTTCTCCCCAAAAGCTATGGATAAATTATAGGATTTATGCAGTAAATCATTATTATCTCCCAAAATTCATACACTCTAATCTGCAAGATGTTGATAATACGTAACAAGCAAATCAATATATCTGACGAGACAGACTTTTTCCCGCTTTAGGTTGCCATTTCTTTCTGCAGTAGACCAGTATGTATCTAAAGGCTATAGAACCCGGTGTGTCTTGATAGATGGTGGGAAAACAAGAGGTTTCGTACCATTCCCAAGGGCGTTAGCACGTAAGTGAATGTAATAGATTCAACTGGAATTCGAACTCCGATTGCTCAATTCGAGCCGCTATCCAATACACCACCGCACCTCCACATCTTATAACTGGCTAATCGGATTCACGAGCCATTCATTCGTTACAATATATTCATTCGCCATAAGAATTTATCCGTCAGCATTCGCTCTTTCAAAATACCTCACATCTATATTTAATACCTGTGATTGTGCGTGCGTGTGTGCATGTATCTATTAATGTGGATACAACAAACGTGCATACACAGGTAAGCGAATAAATATTTACTCAAGTTAATATCAGGTGCAAACAAAAGAGTGCTCAATGTGGTTAGACAAAGCTAACAAATACATATTAATTAATATACTTATGCCTACGTCTGAAGTGCAACTTAAAGTTTTGCTGTTATATATATATATATATATATATATATATATATATATATATATATATATTGGCAGTTTTAAATAATTTAGACAAGCTTTGTCTACTTATTTTTAATAGGATCCTCTCGTAATAACGAACAAGTTTCTTAGTATCTTTATTAAAGAAAGAAATAAAATTACCATGTTGATACATATTCATATTTTTACGAGTACTTTCGACATACGCACAATGTCATCATTGTTTTTCTAAGACAAACATCTTGTTCTGTTAATCATTTTTCTAAGACAAAATTGTTGTTCATCAGAAAATTATTTTTTACGTGTGAAATGAAAAATGCTAAGGTTATGTATTCTACAATTTTAAATATTATCACACGTGCAAACGTCAAGGGAGGTAACTAAGTTATTGTTATATCTAAATATTTTAAAAATAGAAAAATCTATTTAAAGCTATTAGATAAAACACAGATATTGTAAACTATCTACTGTAAACATTTTAATACATTTGTGAAGTATTGAAAATTATTTTATTAAGGTTTAGATTTAATTTTTTTTAATATAGTTAGCTTGAAGTTTTAAGTTTAGTTTATGTCTATTATATTCTTGATAAAATATAGATGTATTTTCAACACGAACTTTACTAAATTGAGGATATATATAGTAGACACAGAAAGGAATCTATACGAACTGCTGCTAAACGTAGTAATGGATAGCGAGAGGAAAGGACTAATCATCAATTATACAAGTCAAAATGTATGTTTGGAAATGTCAAAATCTAGTAAGTAAAACAATTTAAATATCTAGGAAATGTTTTAACCGAGGAAGGAAAATGCGACACCGAAACCCGAATGCGTACTGGGATAAGGAAAGATGCCTTCTCAAAGCTAAGCAAAGTATTAAGAAACAGGAAATACCTGTTAGAAACAAAGAAAAGATTAATGAACTATTATGTAATATCGGTACGTTCTATATGGCAGTGGATGCTGGATTGTCTTTACACGGATTAAGAAGAGACTTGAGGCAACAGAAATGTCGTTTTACAGAAGGATGCTGAGAATACCATGGACCAAACATGTCAGCAACGATGAAGTCTTAGAGAAAATGAAAACAAAAAGGACACTTTTGAGGTCTAATCAAAAAGTATCGGAACTGCTTCTATAAAAAGAAAACTACAATATATATCAATTCGCCATTTAATCTCCTTCGAAGTAGTTAACTTCTTAAATCACACATTCTATTCAACGTCGTTTCCACTAACGGAAGAATTGATGTAACTCCTTTTTTTATCAGCTGCCTCGTCGCATTCTCTTGAATCCTTTTTCTTTCAGTGGGATTTAATTTTTGGAAAGGAGACACGCCACATGGGTAGATCTCTGGGGAGTATAGTAGTTACCGTACCCAGTGAATGATGTCTTTGGCCAAAAACCACAGCACAAACGATGGTCACTGATGGAAACTATGCGGTGAGGTAAGCCGGCCACACTCTACACACTTTCCTTCCAAGCACTGCTATAAACTGTGTAAGAAGAGATTTCAACGTCAAATTGTGGCAAGCGGCTTCACTCTACGTACTTCAGCTCCGACTCTTTTCTTTCTATGTGCCGTGTCGTTTCAGGGCGTAGGCGATCATGGCTCTCTACCTATACCTTGCAGCTTTCAATGAGTTCTTTCCGTCTGCCACCTCCCCCAGACCATCTCCTGTCATCAACTTGCTTAAGGCGGCTAGGTATGTCATGCGTTGTCTTCCTTGCCTCTCTTTTCGACCCGTGAGTATCAGGTTCTCCAGGCCCTTCTTCTTTATTATATGTCCCAGGAATTTCAGCTGCCTGTTCCTGATGTTAAGCATAAGCCCACTCTTTGTTTGCAACCTTTCTAAGACCTCATCGTGCTCACACGTTCGGTCCATGATATCCTTAGCATCCTTCTGTAGAACCTCATCTCCGTCGCCACGAGTCTCTTCTTCATCTTTGAGGAAATAGCCCGACATTCACAACCGGAAAGAAGGATAGAATTCACATAACAGCTTAAACTTCCGCGTCTGCGTGTCCCCGACCTGCAAATCGCATTTTGGGTTCATCCTTTTACTGATGACAGCTTCGGTTGCAATAGCAAAATACCCGATACTTTTTTTTTTATCAGACTTCGTGTCAGAAAGAAACAGTTGAAATTTATAAGGCATATGATGAGAAAACATTAAAAAAATGACAGGACATATTAAAGCATGTTTTTTTACCAGAGCTCATATTGCAATTTTTGTTGTTATTATCGCTTTTCTCTGGCACTCCTTATTACTGGTTCCCATATTGTATTCATTTCTATGCTTGGTCGGCTCAGGAGATTTTTGTGGCCTAGCATATGCGCTGATTCCTTAAGTTTACTAATTTTCCAATGGTGTTCTTTGTCTATGATCTCAGCTTGATCCCACAGAGGGTGGTGATCTCCTTTTTCTCTCCATATGTGGTTAGCCACGCCTGATTTTTCCACTTCCCCTCGTGTTACAGCTTTCTGGTGTTCTTGAAGCCTTACCTTAAGGGGGCGGCCTGTCTCCCCATTATATTTCTTTCCGGAATAGAGTACACACAGTCTTTAGTAATGTTCTCCTCTATGTTAAAAAACATGCAATGATAACAGCAAAAATTGCAATATGAGCACTAGTAAAAAATGTGGCTGAAGACATTAGGTTTATAATACCCAGAAATTCATACACAGATGTCCTCAAGGACAAATTGCACAGTGGATAAAGGCGTTAGTTAGATCCAGTTCAATACCTGGTTAGTGGAGAACTTTCAAAGGGGAATTAACAGGAGATAACTGACATCCATTAGACACGGCACGTGAAACTGGAACAGTCTACCATAGTGAGCGAAATAAAGGGTTCAGTACGACATTTCTACCATCTCAAGAAGGCCAGATCGTACAACGGCCGAAACGTTGTGATAAACATGGTAAATGGTGAACATAATACCTCATCTCAGAAATATAGACAGAAAGATGAGGCCAATAGTCCGAATAATGTAAATAGTTTACATAATACCTCATCTCAGAAATATAGACAGAAAGATGAGAACAATAGTCCGAATAATGTAAATAGTGTACATAATACCTCATCTCAGAAATATAGACAGAAAGATGAGAACAATAGTCCGAATAATGTAAATAGTGTACATAATACCTCATCTCAGAAATATAGACAGAAAGATGAGAACAATAGTCCGAATAATGTAAATAGTGTACATAATATCTCATCACAGAAATATAGACAGAAAGATGAGGACAATAGTCCGAATAATGTAAACAGTGTACATAAAACCTCATCTCAGAAATATAGACACAAAGATGAGGACAATAGTCCGAATAATGTAAATAGTATACATAATACCTCATCTCAGAAATATAGACAGAAAGATGAGGGAAATAGTCCAAATAATATAAATATTGTACATAATACCTCATCTCAGAAATATAGATAGAAAGATGAGGACAGTAGTCCGAATAATGTAAATAGTGTACATAATACCTCATCTCAGAAATATAGACAGAAAGATGAGGCCAATAGTCCGAATAATGTAAATAGTGTACATGATCCCTCATCTCAGAAATATAGACAGATACTGAAAAAGAAAGATGATTCATTTTTTTTACAGTACCATAGTACAAACGATACTTCTGGTTGTCTCTGCTCAACCGTCTGCACACGGAATTGAGATGAAAAGCTTTCTCTAGGAAAAGAAAGAGATATAGAAAGAAAGAGAATGTGACAATCTTTTTTTCTTACTAGTTAAAAATGTACCTCGGTTCTCGAAAGTCTCACATGTCGAACAAATCGGTTTACAAACAGAAAATTCGAGAGGAAAATGCCTCGGCTATCAAACAAAATTTCGCTTCTCGAACATAGCCGAACCGAGTTAACCTGAACGGAATCATTTCTGAGTCGACCGCCATATTGTATATATTTGTGCGTTGTGACGTGCTTTTCTTTACCATTTTTATTTTACTATGACTTTTTTTTTTCTCTACATTAATTTCTATTGGAAAAAATAGTTTTGGTTTACGAACATTTCGGGTTACGAACGACCTTCGGGAACGAATTAAATTCGTGAACCATGTTTCTACTGTATTTCTTTTATATGAATCAAATCCACGACAGCAATATGCTTAAGCCATCTATTATGAGTTTATTTCTTTGTTCATTTGACCGTATTTTCAATTGCCAAGTGATATCTTTCTTTTTCAAGTTAGATGACAAGTTTCACAAACTCGGGAACTCATTTTTTTTTCTCATTCTAGAGTCGAACACCGACATTTTTTTTTCTCTCACCTCAGAAAATCTTAAACATGGCGGAACGTTTTTCACAAGTATATATTTTCGTTTTCACTTCAAAAACTATTGTCTGACTTTTTTGTTTTTGACACCTATATGTTTTTTTTTATTTCCTTGCTTCCGTCATATAAGATGCTCAGGTAATAAAAATAACTTGAAATCGCCAGATAAATTCAACTTTTCTTTCTTTCATAGCAAGATCGACATATTTCCTCGTAATGGCTGATGCTGATTTATAACGAAGATATAAAAATCCACGAAAATAAAAAAAAAAAACGACTCTCTTGCTTTCAGCTGCCTAAAGTGAAGACATTTCCTACAAATGATATGTCCATATAGAATGTTTTTGATGACCTTTGCTTCTGATTATAGCGACACTATGTCTGGTTCAGGGTAATACCAAAAAAGAATATACTTAAAAACACTTTTAGAGATATAAACTCCTTCCCAAGATTCTTTTGAGCCAATCGGAAGAACAGAATTGAACTGACAAAATACAGGGTGTCACCGTGCGGTAAAGCGTCGCCCGGTTCAGTCACAATTCGGCAATGCGTGAGTAGTCAGGCGAAATAAAGTCAGCGGAACAAAAGAGGGCACTGGTCTTCGCGACACCACATGAGCAGCAAACATTTCTGGGAATAATATTAGTAATTTTGAGCCTGTTTGTGTGAAACTAATATGTGAATGGGCTACGTTATCCTGCATAATACGATGTGAGCCAAATCGATTTAAATATATCTCTGCAATATATATATAGGAAATTTCTCAAACATAAAAAATATATAATTAGGCGGTTTAATAAATAATCGGAGATACGAGTATCCACGAAAAAATAACGTTTAAAGCGATAAAAGTTATTTATATTCGTGTGAACTGAATTGATAAAAAACTCATGAAGATTCAACGAGGCGAAGACTTCTGTGATGTGTATTGGCCTAATTGCGAGTTTCAGGTTTTTAGTATAACAGTCCCTCAACCAGTAAACTGACCTACGTCAAAAGATATAATCCCATCACCACACCATGCATAACACACACACACACACACACACACACACACACACACACATATATATATATATATATATATGTCAAAAGGTATCCCGGAGACGAGGCTCTGCCGAGGGGCGGAGTCTTATCTCGGGAAGCTGACTCCGTTTTTACGTGGTCTGTAGGGAATTTTTGCCCGAGCCTACGGGCTTAGTTACCCCACTTTAAACTCGGCCTTGTGCCACACCTTGCTGCGTGGGACAGCGGGTAAATAATTATATATATATATATATATATATATATATATATGTGTGTGTGTGTGTGTGTAGTAAGATATGATATTGCATTTTCACTTATAGCTACTCGAAGATTCGCCAAGATTACATCAAATGTCAGTAGACATGATTTTTGATATCGTATATAACAGTGTACAATAATAACTTAGAATCAAGTCCCCACTAGCATGAAAGTAATCTTCGCAGACTCCTCATTAGGGATAAAGAAAGTGAGAATTTAATTTAATACTTGCATGTTTTATCTCTTTGTACTACTTGCTGTAAAACATTCGTTTTTTACGGCTTATCAACTATTTTGAAGGTTGATAAGGCAGAAAATATTCATAGATTGTAAGAATCATTTTTTATTTTTATTTTGAAGGGCATAATCCTTTAGTGATACAAGTGTAAATAACTAACCCATAGGTGTAGTGGATTAAATATCCTTGCCAACTGTATTTTACGAGTAAGTGAATATAGCGAACACTGCGGGAATTTGAACTCGGCCCTTCGATTTCTAATTCAGAACTGTTATACATTACACCACCCACACATCCAAGCTTACAGTACTTGGTATTCCTAAGCGGTCACCCATCTAGATTCTGACCCAACTCGTCATTGCTTACCATTGAGGATCGTACGGGAAACGATGTTTTAGCATGATGTGGCCATGATCCAGCAGTAACTATTAATCCAACATTAATTCTAAACAGTTTAAACCTAATAATAACATGATAAAAATACTTCATCTCTAAAAAGAAAAAAAATGGGTTAAATCTTGAAACAATATTACTTAAATTACGTCGACCCCCGTCTAAGGTTGCTCGTGGTTTCAGCATTGCTTATACTGGGTTTCAGACCTTATTTAATTCTTTTTTAAACATTTCACCCCAAGCAAAGCGAGAGTATCACTAAGACGCAACGGATTACGGAGAGTGAGAGCAAGAGTAAAGAGGACGGGGGAAAATTCAAGGCATCTGGAAATGTCGATTAACATTGCATTTGAATAATTGAAGATTATAGCTACCAGGGAAGCAAGTAAGAGGGAGGGAGTTCCACAGACGGGAAGTACGGAACATGAAGCTATTGGAGTAAAAGAGACGGATATATTTAACCGTTTCGACAGTGAAATAGTGGGACTGAGATGCCAACCTAGTAACACGTTTAAATTCATGCAGTTTGGGAACCAGCGAAAGTAGCTCGTCGGAACAGTTACCGTAAAAGTATTTGTAGAAAAGACAGAGGAAGACGACGGCACGTCTTTGAGAGAGAGCGACTGCAACCGAGATGCCAGATCAGGGCCAATCACATTGCATATCCGTCTCTGGAATTTATAGAGGACCTAACAACGGTGGCTCCAGACCATATATGGCAGCAGTATTCCATGCAAGGGCGAATGGTTGATTTATAGATTTGAAGGATGGTCTCGGTAGATGAAGCTATTGGTTCAATGTATTTGTTTCATCTCAGGTCAGCGTACTGTGTGACACCAAGCCGCCAGTTACCAATGCAGACGCTCCTTGGATTTTCACCAGAGACCTTGTTAGCCGGCGCGTGTGTCAGACCTGTCCGCCTTGGGTGGCCCTACCAGGAACGAAGATTTGCTATTGAGGCAGGAGTAAATCGTAATGTCCTCTGCATAGATGTCTATTTGGGATCTGTGTGATATGTATACCATTTATGCAGAATAACAATAGAATAACAACATTTACCGGCGTAAGGGTCCCAGCTAGCGTCCAGCTGGCAGGCAAAAATAAAGCAGGTTGTAACTCAATACAGACCCCGCAAACTGACTAGAATCAAGCTGGTATACCTCCACTCATGTACCAGCAGCCAATCACATCCCTAGCAATGAACTATTCCACTTGATCACAATGAGCTGCTCCATGGTAACATAAATAGCTCTTTCTCAAGGTGGATGAGTCTTTTCTCAGCTTGTTCCACAACAGAGTGTTTCTCTTGACAACGTGATTGTTCTACAATTTAGTTCTTAAAATGCTTGTTTTGTATCGTGTTAAATGTTCTTTTCCGTTTTTTATAAGATAATTAAAGTAGGATAAAAGGGATTCTTTGGAAAACTGGAAATAAAAAGGCCAATATAATAAATGAGTTTTACCGTTGCAAAATTCTAAAATCGATTTATTTTATTTTCAATATGATTCTTTAAAGCAATTCATAATAAACTGATTCCACTTCAACTGTTAATTTATTTTTTTTATTTTTTCAGATTGAAAGCAAGAAACTAGAAAGTCTTGGGAGTACCCCTACCTCGTTTGCCAAGATGCCCAGTAGGGTAGGGGGGGGCACATTTCAGGATTATAAAAAAAAAAGTGACAGCCAAACCTCTTCCTCTATTTTGCTTCGGTATGTAGCAGTGGAACCAACGGGACTTCTTCGCTGCTGGAGGATATTTCTAACCCCGGTCGGAATATCTTCATTTCAAATTAACTACTTGGACATCTCACACACACACACGCACACAAATACACACACAGACACGTGCGCGCACACACACACATCTGCACACACATGTTCAAGCGCACATACATACACACACACGAATGCACAGGCTAAAAAAAATATACTCTTTCTTTTTAACTATTTACATATGGAAATTAAAACCACCAAAGCTTTGTTTTTCTTAACATTGTATATATATATATATATATATATATATATATATATATATATATATAGATATATTATTATTATTATTATTATTATTATTATTATTATTATTAAGAGATCTTAATGTAAGTTGCAGAGCAATATAATGATAAAACAAGACAAACCTCAAAAATCCATATCAGGTTATAATTTATTTCATGAATATTTTTATAGTCATCTTTTTCGACCGAAAGTTTTTTTTAGAAATGGAATCAATCCATTCAGGCAGATATACCGAGATAAAATTATATCCTGATATAAATGTATGGATGGATTGATCTCATTTCTAAAAAAGACTTTCGGTCTGAAGAGATGAATATATCAATATTCATGAAATGATATATATATATATATATATATATATATATATATATATATATATATATCAAGAACAAAAGCAAAACGAAATGCGGAATATATATATATATATATATATATATATATATATATATATATATATATATATCAAGAACAAAAAGTAAAACGAAATTCGGAATGAGTATATATATATATATATATATATATATATCAAGAACAAAAGCAAAACGAAATGCGGAATAATATATATATATATATATATATATATATATATATATATATATATAACAAGAACAAAAGTAAAACGAAATTGAATGAGTATATATATATATATATATATATATATATATATATATATATATATATATATATATATCAAGAAAAAAAGTAAAACGAAATGCGGAATAAGTATATATATATATATATATATAAAATAAAAGTGAACATAGAAGTCAACACTTAGAGGCGACAGTCTGTTTCATGCTATATGCAATCGTCAGGCCACGTGTGCTGTTATTTTTCTCGGCTATTTATATATATACGGGTTAGTGGTGCATTGTGGGTATTCTATTATGGCGGTTATTTTTACCGGAAGTCGCTTTGTTCATTTATTTGGGTCAAGTTATATTGCTCGTTTTTATTTATTTTTTATTTTATTTTATTTATTTATTTATTTTTTTTTTGTTTTTATTTTATTTATTTATTTATTAACGTAGTAAAAATTTGTTTATATCACGTATTTAACAGTTTTGTTTTGGTTTGA